CCCCTTAATTACCCAAGATGAACTGGCTGACTCAGATGCTCAACTGGAAGTAATCAAATAGTGCCTACTGCAGGAGTGGAGGCAACTGTGGTTGATGTTTCTCCAAGCAATAGCATTTAGGCTGGGGAAAATAATACGAGATTCTTTTGAAAAGCAGTTTTCAGACTACGATTAAACTATAGATATGCTTGTTTAGGGCCATTTTCAGAGTAGGAGCCAATTAGTATATAAGTCAGTCACACATTGACAGCTAGCAGCTCTAACAATGCCAAAAGCACAACTTTACTACCATAGTAATCCAGGGGTTTCAAGTAATACCAGGAGTCTCAAACTCAGATGTCTACAAGAACTAGGTAAATATTTTAATAGACTACCCTGGGCCAAGTGGACTCTCAGAGGAGCCTGTGAAATACACTTTACGTGGATTCTCTCAATTTTGAAATGGGCTCAAAGAACTGCACATGGGCCTTGTCATTTTCCAACTTGTGTTCCAATTTAATGTCCATTTTACACATTGAAATCACTGAGAAACTTCAAAAGTACAAACCAAAAAACACTATGCTTGAGTCCCACCCCATAGGAATTATGATTTAATTGCTTTGGGTTGTGTCCTGAACATCAATAATTTTTAAAGTCCTATCCCCATCCCCAACCCTGATGATTGTGCAGTGCAGTCTGAGACTTGTAGGCAAGGTTGAGACCATTGATCTAGATACCTACATAGTTTCAAAGAGGAATGTAGTTGAGCACTCTAGTCATAAGGGACAATAGGACGTGGGGCGAATTTACAAGCTCAGGAAAGGGCCACACTGTAGGCCCTAGCTGAATGGGTTTTGTGGAATGGTACCTCCTCGGGTATAGTGTAAAGCGCCCAATTTGTATTTTTGTTGGTGTTTTGGTAAGTGGTCCACCTTGGAGAAAATAAAATTCACAAAACTAAAAACTGTAGAACCGATAAGCTCAGTAGAATATTCACGTTAACTGGCAATATATTTTCTTATCAAGGGAGAGAGCTCTATCTGGAAGTACATTAGTGTAGAGTCTGAGCAAGTTGTTGAGTGGTTAAGCTATCTGTTTCAAGTCAATGCACAATTCCATTTAATCACTTAAATTCAGAGCACTTGAAAGTCACAAGTTTCTTGCTGTCACTTTCATTTTGATGAACTTGTATGTTAAAAGACAGTGGATTTTCCTATTTTTATTCCCAGTGTAGTTGGCATAGTAGAAAGAATATCAGTATTTCTCAGCCATAATTTTCCCTTTGTAAAATGGGGATACTAATAGGAGCTATAATTTGTTGAGTGCTTCTTGCCAGATGCCTTACTTATGTTATTTGTATCTTCTAAGCAGCCCTAAAACAAAGTAGGCATTGCTATCCTATTTTATAAATGAGAAGAAAGGTGTATAGACTATTAACTCGAACTTAACAGTTTATGGCACCATTGTGCTTGTCTAATTTCATGTGTTCATTCTATCATGTTATATTGTCTTTTATAGGAATATTGTGAGGGTCAAAGAAAATTAATGGGAAAACAAATCCTAGTTACAAATAATGAGCTTACTAGTACTAACTTAGGCAAAAAATAAGGATACAGAGCTGTCTCATAGACTCCCAAAGGCAGAATGAGATCAGATCCAGGAACTAGAAAGCCATTTTGGACTCCTAAACTGGCATTGTCTGCAGTCTGTACATCCACATCGTTCTAAAGGCTTCTGCTTTTCCTATCAGCCACACCCATAGCTCTAGGTGTTACATGTTAACTGTCCCAGACACATGTAGACAACCAGACAGAGCCATGGAACAAGATCATTGGTACAAATGTGGCTTTGGGAGGTTACCCCTGTGGATTGGGAGGCAAATTTTGGAGATCATGGCTCACTGGCTGTACATCACAGGTGTCCTTGACAATACCAAAATGCCCTGAAAGTTTTCTTTTTTTGCGGTACGCGGGCCTCTCACTGTTGTGGCCTCTCCCGCTGCGGAGCACAGGCTCCGGACGCGCAGGCTCAGCAGCCATGGCTCACGGGCCCAGCCGCTTCGCGGCATGTGGGATCTTCCCGGATCGGGGCACGAACCCGTGTCCCCTGCATCGGCAGGCGGACTCTCAACTGCGCCACCAGGGAAGCCCCGAAAGTTTTCTTTTTTAAATAAATGTAAAGAGTTTGTATATAATAGATAATTATGGCTAACTTATTTAATGTTTACTAAATGCTTCATGGCCATCTTTTTAAAATTGCAAATCATATGAGATAGTTGCCATCTCCATTTTATAAATAAGAAAATAAAAGCGCAAAGAAGGTGGGTTATTTCTTTGAGGTCATCCTTTTGTAAGTGGCAAAATGAAGATTCAAGCCTAAGTTCCTTCTGTCAGCACCCATGGTGTTGGGCACTGTTCTAGGCACTGGAGGTACAGCAGTGAACAAAGGGGTCTGTTTGTCTGAAGCATTTAATCCTGATTCTACATAGAGACTCAGTGGGTTGCCCAGGGTCACCCAGCCAGTTAATGGCAGCTCTGCAGGCACATTTGGACCACTACACTAAATTCTTTTCACTACTATAGCTGCTTCTCAAACAACCTTGCCAAAAGTATCTGCTAAAATTACATAGACTGGTTAGGGGACTTCCAACCTCGGGAGACTCAATGACTAATTCTTAGTTTTGGCTCCTCTCTGTTCAAAACATGTCTTTTTGTTGTTAACCTCAGATACTCTACTAAGAAGGACCCAAAGTATGCCTTTTTCTTCTCCCTCACATTTCAGAACCACCCTGGCATTTTAATGAGAGTTTAAAAAAGCAAGTCTCATATTTCCAAACCCTTTCCAGAAGGCAATCTTGCCAATATTGAGCTGATGATGTGGCTTCCTGTGCACAAAATAACATTTCCTGATTTGGTGTTTTATTTAGCACCTGCATATCCCTCCTCACTACTCCACCTGTATAAAAGTTTGGTTTTTAATTTTCAAGCTGCCTGCTTTTTGCCACGGAGTATTCAGGTTTCTTTCAGAGTGAGAATTTGGAAGGTGATGATAGAAATGAATTCTCTATTGGAGATAGGTAATTCTCCAGAAAGCTGTCTAGGATGAAAACTTGCTTCTCTAGATTTTAGATTTCCTTCTGATGGTTAAAATTGGTTTCTGTGTGGGTAACAACAAAGCAGTGCCCTAGGAACCACTTCAGTGTATGTTAAATGATGATTTCTTAGAATTGTGAATCAGGGCTTTTGCAGTGAGGATCTGGTTCTCTGGAATCATTTGTCCAAGTTGGGATTCCTAAGGAGTGAGGAAACACACTGTCCTGAGTTTTCTGAGGGACCCTATCCAAAAACATCACTACTTATTGAATTTCCTACCTTCCTCTCACAGGGGGACTCCCTGCGTGTACTCCCACCTCTGCAGGTCACATCATTTTCTCAAAGGGAGTGCCGTATAAAATGCTAACCAGAATTCATGGAGCATCTCTTATGGGTCTACTTAGGCAGTAGACATTCTAATAGAATGCTCTAGAATTGTAAGTTCTTGCACCTGCTCTCAAGTCATTTATAACCTAATTGCTGGTCTTCCTGGTATGAACAAAATTGTTGGTTTGTTAATAAATTCCTACCATATGACCCTGACTTGTGGTTCATTTCTACATAACCTGGGCAAATACTATAATGTTTTCTAACAAAGGAGGAAGCATGATCTGAGTGTCCACCTGCTTTGGATAGGAAATAAATTTGTATCCAAAATCCTGTGACTGGTTCAGAGCATTGTAAATGTCATGGCAGCAAATACCAGAGAATGGTTTTTATGAAGAATAATAGTGTTCTACATGCCTTTGAATAATTAATTTTTACTCCATTGTTTTGACTACCTTGCAATAGGGTAAGTTAAGTATTAATACCATCGATTCATGTTAAAATCACATTAGTATAAGTCAGTGCCTTAAAATGGTCAAATGGTTGCTCACTAATCAATGGAAATGAACTGTTGGTTCCACAGAATTGCTTCACAGATTCTAAATGCTACTTCTTAGGGGCACTGGATTGTGTGCCCTTTAAGATAAATTCTATAATCAAGGCCTAGCCCTGAACAGATTAGAGCCCAAAGATCGTACTGAGGAGAACAAATCAGATAGGTCAGTAAAGGGTCGGGGACAGATGCTCCTGGAGTAGGTATCCTCAACTCACCTTTATTTTAAGTTGATATATAGAAATCAATGTTATTATAAAATGCACACATGTTGTGTTCAGATTGATGTTTCAGCGATTGTATACCTCTGTGAGATAACCACCCAAAGGAAGATATAGTTACCATTAACCCAGAAAGTTCCCTTGTGCATCTTTCAAATTATCCCTGCCCCCCTCCCTACTCCAATGATCATTTGCCGATTTTTCTCACTGAAGATTTATTTTGCCTGCTTTTGGACTTTATATAACTGAATCATATAATATGTACTCTTACATCTGGCTTCTTTCATTTATAATGCTTTAAAGACTCATCCATATTGTTGTATGTATTGATAAATTATTCTTTATTGCTAAGTAGTATTTCATTCTATAAATGTACTACAATTTGTTTATCCATTCTCCTACTGATGGACTTTTAGTTTGTTTCATTTGGGGCAATTATGAATAAGGATATTATATATATATTCTTAAGTTATATTTTTTTGTTTTGTGGGTACATGTTTTTTCTCTTGGATAAATACCTAAGAGTAGAAAATTGCTGAGTCATATGATAACTTTTTAAGAAACTGCCTTCCTGTTTTCTGAAGTGATTTATCATCTTTTATCAGTGATGTATGGGAGTTTCAGTTGCTTCATATTATCAGTGTTTTTTATATTAGCCATTTTAGTGGGTATGCAATAACTATGATTTTAATTTACATTGCATTTCCCTGATGATTAGTGATGTTGAGCACTTTTCATATGCTTGTTTTACATTTTTATATCTTTCATGAAATGTCTTTCATGTCTTTTCCCATTTTAAAATTGAATTGTCTTTTTATTGTGGTTTTTCTGTGAATTCTGGATACAAGTCCTTTGATGGGTATATGTGCTGTGATTTTTTTTTTGTAGACTATGGTTTGTTCACTTACTGGGATCTTTTGATGAACAGAAATTTTTGTTTTGATAAAGTCCACCATATCAAGTTTTTCTTTTATGATTTTATGACCCCTAAGCTCATAAAGAATGTATTTTCTTCTAGAAGTTTTATGGTTTGGGGTTTTATGGCTATCTATGATCCATCTCACTGGTTTTAGGTTTTAAATCTATGGTTTGGAGTTTTACATTTAAGTATATGATCCATCTCCAATTAATTATTTGTACAGAACGAGGTTTATTTCAACATAGATACCCAGTTGTTCCAGCAACATTTGTTTAAAAAGATTTTCCTTCACCCATTAGATTGACTTGGCATCTTGGTTGAAAATCAACTGACCATATGTGTCTGTAGTTATTTCTAGATTCTCTATTCTGTTTCCCACAGAATACTTCATTTCCCACAGTACTTCATTATTATTTCTGTTCATGTTTTCCAGCAAGTCTAGGGTTCCATGTGTTATAAATTCCCTTTAATCTAAAGAACTTTCTTTTTAACATTTGTTCTATTGCAGTTTTTCTGAAGATGAATTCTCTCAGCTTTTCTCTGTCAATCTTTATTTTTCAGGGGTATTTTAGTTGAATATTAAATTCTATGTTGACCTTTTATCTCTTCTTTTAGCATTTTAAAGTCATTTATTTGTCCTCAGGTCTCATTTGTTTCTGGTAAGAAATCATCATTTTTATGTGTCTCCCTGTCCATAATGTGATTCTCCCCCATGGTTACATCTGCTCTTTATCTTTGGTTTTCAGCAGATCGACTATGATATGTCTAGGTATGTTTTTCTTTGTATGGAGTTTACTGAACCTCCTGTATCTGTGTTGCTGTCTTTCATTAATATTGGGTATTTCTTGGCTTTTATGTCTTCAAATATTTCTTCTGTTCCATACTCTCCCACCTTGCCTCTCCTTCTGAGACTCCAATTACACCTATATTAGGTGATTTGATATTATCCTATGGATCTCAGATGATTTCCCCCCATTCTTTTCTCTTTTTGTTTTTAGTTTGAATACTTTCCATTTAGCTGTCAAGTACCCTGATGCTTTTCTCTTAAACCTATCTGATGAAACCTTTCTGATACTGTATTTTTTATTTCTAGCATTTCATTATGTTTGTATAGTTATCATGTTTCTGCTTAAATTTTCCATTTTTTTATGTATGGTCACATTTTCCACTACAGTTTTTAAAGCATTTTCATCATAGTTATTTCAAAAACCCTATCTATTGATTGTAATATTTTAGCCTCCACTAGATTTTTAAGCATTTTACTTTCAGCCAGAGTTATTTTAAAGATCCCACTGTTAATTCAACATCTGGGTCATTTCTCATTCTGCTTCTCTTGAACCTTTCCTCTGTTACCATGGATCTTATTTTCTTGCTTTTGCACATGTCTTGTATATTTGATTGTATGCTGGACGTTTTGTATAAAAAACAGGAGAGACTGAAGTAAGTATTACTTCAAATTGGGGCATGCCCATTTTTCTTTCAGCCATTTGAGTAATGGCTTAGTCAATCTGATGTATATTTGACCTAGATCTGGGCACTATTGCAGCCTTAGTTTGATTCAGTTCACCCTGACTTTGCTTCGTAGCTAAGGTGTCAGCTTTTGGAAATGTGGGAGATCTCTTCTAGTGGAAAATGTGGACAAACCAGCCTAGCTGCCAGGTTTTCTTGGGCACTGGGATAGGGGGGTAGAGAGGTATTTCTCTCAGCTCTTGTGTGTGCCCTACCCTTAGTCTTTTCAGGAAGAATGCCCACAATGCCTGGGGCATGGGTCTCTCAGCCCTCCTGCCTCACTCTCAGCCTTCAAGAGTATATGTGGTGGATTTCTCAGCATTCCTGCTTTGCCTCCTTTAAGGTTATCTTGCAAAGATAACCTTAAAATGTTAGTTAGTGGAAAGTCTCCACTTACCTCAAGGGAAGGAGTCTCAACTTTTCTATTATACACACCCTCTTCCCACTTTGGTTACTACCTTCCTGTACTCTTTAAGATCCAAGAGGTAAGATTGGTGGGTGGGTGCAGGTTTTCTCTGTGGATTTGGGTCCTCTAGATTCTAATGTCATGCCAGCCTCAATGAGACTGACATTTTTGTTAAATTTCCACTGGCTTCTCTTTATTCCCCTATGGTGGAGCAGCCATGTATCTCTTCTCTCCTGTGAAGGACTTAGCATTTTCTGGAGGTTAGTTCACTTAGGGTTTCTTTATGTCCTTAGCTTTCGGATGAGTTAAAAATATTTTTGATTTTCTAGCTAATCTAGCCTTTGTTTGCTAGGGTGGGAGATATATTCTCCTGTGGTTTTCTACATCCAAATGAGAAGTGAATTCTAGGAATGGGAGTTTAAAAAAAAGTTTCATTTACATATTTTAAAAATAATTTTTAAAATTATATATACATGGATAATAAAATGTTAAATTTTATAGAGTGGTGAACAATGAAAAGCGAATTACCTTCCCATTATAGGTTCCCAAGTCCTCTCTACTCCCTCTACAGAGACAAACATCATTACCAGTTTCTTGATTGTTTCTCAAAATTCTGTATACAAAAAGTGTGCATATCTTCCCCCCTTATTTTTTTTTAATACGAATAGAACCATACTATATCTTCTATACTTTGTTTTTCTCATTTAACTATTTCACCATCTTGAAGTCCTTTACAGACTGCATAATATGTCTTTGTATGGATGTACTGTGGTTTATTTGAACAGTCCCTGGTGATGGACATTTGGGTTGTTACCAGTTTTTTTTTTTTTTCTCACAAACATTGCAGTATATATGCCTTTGCCCACATTTGTGGTTGAGTATCTGTAGTATCAGGAATGGGCATATTTAAAATGCTTCATGAAGGCCCCTGGAGCTTCATATTAATTCACAGTGTTTCTCAAGGTGTTGGCTGGGCTCTCAGCAGTTGGTGGTATGGGTTTGGGGAAGACTGGATACTGCAAAAGACTCATGAGGTGCTGGAGAGTTGCCTGGCAGGTGGCGTCAGAACAAAGCTGGCTATAGACCCTACCAGAGTAGGAGTGACGTATTAAAATATTTAAGATGTAGAAACTCAACTGTAATTCCTTCTTTATACATATATTGGGGATGTTAAAAAGTTACTGATGTCAGATTGCTCGCTTGCCTCCTCAGCCCCCACCATGGGGTAAAAAAGATAAATACCATTTTCTTTGGAATGTCTTACAAGATTACATCCAAGGAGGTTTTCTAAGGGAAATGAAGACTTATATGTTATACAAGAAACATTATCTATGTGATTCTGGGATCTTCCTGTGAAGATGTTATGTTTTTTGAGATTTTTTTCTAATTACCTACCTAATTAGCACATTAAGTTTGGTTGTTGACATCTGAGAAACCAATGTGCTTTCTCATGAAAAAGACCCTTGCACAGAAAGTGCTCTTTTTTCTAAGATCTGGGGTCAAAGGAGAGATTTTTAAGCATATAATAATGGCTTCTACTTATTTAATAACATAGGCACAAAAAATGTCATTTACTTCTCACAGGACCCCTTTCAGGGAGATTTTATACATTAGGAAGTATGCTCATGAGCTTTCTACCAACATCATCTTCCCTAAGGCTCCCCATCTCAGTAACTGACTATACTATTCACTCAGTTGCTTTTAAAGTTAGAAACGTAGTAATCTTTCTGTGACATCTATATCCTTTTCCTTCATTCTCCCATATCCAATTCTACACCTTAGGAAATTTGTTTTACCTCCTAAAATTCGTGAGAATCCATTCACTTTTTCTCCTTTTCCCATCACTCTAGTCCAAGTGAACTGTTTTATCATTTCATTTGCAGTATCCTTTTAGTCACCCCTAGGTTATCAATTCTTGTCCCCCACTCAATTCATTCTCCACTCATTAGCTAACATGAACACATTAATTCATTTAACATGAATTAAATGTTAATTTTGACTATGTCACTCCTTGCCCAAAACTCTCTAGTGCCTTTCCAATGTCCTTAGAATAAAATCCCTCGCATGGCCTCTGTGGATCTGCACCACTAGTCTCTCCTACCTCTCCACCTATTGCAACCAACTCTTTTCCCCTTCCTCTTTCCAGCCATGCTGGTCTTTCTGTGCTGCAAACTGGCCAAGCTTCTTCCATCCTCAGGGCCTTTGCACAAGCTTTTCTTTTGCCTTAGAATTTTTCCCCAGCCTGCCCACTTCCTCCTCCCCCTTCCCCAAGCTAATGCCTTATCCTTTAGGTCTCATTTTAAACATATATTACCCAGGGAAACTTCCCTGTCCAAACAAGTCTAGATTGGATCTCCCTGTTATTATTTGCTTTTACTACTCTGTATTTTTCCTCAGCATTTATCACAATTCTAATTATATAGTTATGTTGTTCTTTTAATTTTCTCTGTTATTGGAATAGGTAATACATCCATTTCATACAAAATTCAAATTGTAACAGGGTATAGAGTTTCTTCCCTTCCCCGTCCCTCTGCTACCCAGTTTTCTTCCTTACAAGTAACTACTTTTAGCATTTTGAATATCCTTTCAGAGATTTTGAGTATATAAGCAATTATGTACATAATTTTCATCTTTATTTTTGCCTTCTCTTATTAACACAGATCCTATGTACATTTTTCTGCACTTTGTTTTTACCTGTTAATATATCTTGGCAATTCTTCTATATCGCTATGTAAATGGTTTCTTTTTCATGTACCATACAGTATGGGCTTGTCATTATTTCTTTAACCTTAATTATTGGGCATTTAGGTTGTTTTCAGGCTTTGGTTATTACGAACAATGCTGCATTGAATAACTTTGTATTTAAAGTCATTTTCCACATTCATACCTATAGAATATATTCCTAGAATTAAAGTAAAGAAGTTAAAGGTTATGTGCATTTTAAATTTGGGTAGTAATTTCCAAACTGCTGTCAATGGAGGTTGTACCAGTTCACAGTCCCTCTAGCCACAGATGAAGAATGCATGTTTACTCACAACTCAGTGAAAATTTTTGTTCTCTGACAATGTAAGAGGTGGAAAATATCTCTTGGAAACTTTAATTTGCATGTTTTCTCTTCCTTGCAAAGTTATATTTTCGTATGTTCAAGAGGCATTTGTATTTCTTCTTTAGTGAACTGTTTCTTCATAAACTTTGCTTACGTTATTTAATGTGTGACTTCCTCGCTACACTCGAAGGTCAGGGATCCCGCGTATTTCGCTCGTCGCATAGCTCCTGGTACTGGAATGAATGAAGCTCAAAGAAATGACTGGCTCACGTCATGCAGTAGTCACATACGGAACTCATGTTTGACTCGAAAGCCCACGTATTTCCACGATCACCCAGTGGAAAGACTGAGCATTTAATTCACCACAGCAGGGGCTAGCAAGGTAATGTAAAAACGGCTGAAGTGTGCTGGGAAGAGAGGACTGTGGCAAAAAGGCCAATAAATGCCTAACTACAGTAGCAGCTGTTTTCAGATCTATTTTACCGCCAAGCAGGAATGCAGGCCCATTGTCGGATCTTTATTTATTCCGAGGCCGGATTTCTGGCTTTCTTGCGAGATCTCCTGGTTTTTAAGTATTTCCAGTCAAAACAAGACTGCCTTCAAATGCAGCCCACCGGCAGCGGATTTGCAAACTCTAGCGTAAACAGAAGTGGGAGGCTGATAAGGCGGGTAATACCTTAGTTGGACAAAGACAGCCGAGAAACAAGTAATTTTTATGTAAGGCGAGAATGAGGTTCTCCGCCGTAGGGTTTGGGTTTGGGGGCCGGGACTCCCGGAAAGACGCTGGAAATAAATGCTGGGTGGCATCAAAGCAGGGCAGGGCCAGGCGGCGGGAGGGCGCGCTGCCGTCCCAGTTGTGGCTGGCCACTCCACCCAGCGCTGTTGGGGGTTTCTGAAGCAGCGTCCACACAATGGTGTAGGGCGGTAGGGGCTGGCCGGGATAAAGGGGACGACTGGCTGCGCATTCCCTCACCGGCTCCTTTAGAGCCAAGTGGACCGCAGGAAAGCACCCAACCCTTTCCCCGCTTCCAGAAGACCCTCCGCCTCCCAGGCAAAGCTTTCCGCTCGGCGATCTACTTCTTTCCCTACTCAGGCCCCTCCCCACTTCCCCAATCCTACGACTTCCGTTTGCCTGGTTTTTTTGGAAACCGCCGACTTCCGGCCTCCCAGCGGCGGGCGGAGCTAAGATGGCTGAGCAGAGGCTCGCGATGGTGAGCGTTGAGGTTCTGCTTGGTGTCCCGGCTGCCTGGCGGGGTTGGGCAGGGCCGGGCGGAGCGGAGAGGGGGGCTGGCGGTCGGCCTGTGTCCCACGGAGCTGCCTCTGGGGAAATGCGTGGCCGGGGCTGGAGCGCCTCGGGGTGGCCGGGGCAACACGGTTCGACTCCCGGGAACTGCTCCGTCTGGGGCCCTGCTGAGTTCTTTGCAGCTCTGGGCCTGTGCTAGGACTGGGGTCTCTCTTGGGGTGCGCTAGGAGATTTTCATCGGAAATGGCTCTTTTCCTAGCTCCATGTTTTCTGTCTCATGAGGTTTGGAAAGAAAGCACTACCACCCGTGCAGAGTTAGTTTCTGTTAATCCCCTGGATTAGGCATTGAATGAGACAAATCCTGGAAGCTTTCAGCGTCAGTACTTTCTGCGGATGGGGCGAGAGCATGTTTTCGCAAATTTAGGAATTCACCTGGCCTGAGTTAGTCGTTGATTTAAACTCCACAGAACTGCTAATACAGAGTAACTCAGGTGAATTCGGGATGACCCAGTAGTGGTTATTTTTGAGGCGTAAATTCATAATTGGATCTAATTTCTATAAATTTCCAAGTGTGAAACCTTGTCTACCTTGTTTTAATATTGAATTTCAGAGCATGTTCTGCGCGTTTATTAGAATGACTTTAGTTATTTATTCGGGATTTATTGCCCTTTGAAACCCCCCCTGGAAAACTTAGGAGACAAAATAGCAGCCTTTAACAGACTGTTTTATAACTTAATTTTGGCTGCTAGGGAGCAAGGCCAGTATTACCTTGTCAGGGGGCCTGTTTGTTTTTTCTAGTCTCTCTTCATTTGCAGCGAAATCAAATTGTTATAGTGTAATTAGAAAACTCTGAATACAGACCAGGAGGAGGCCCAAAGCAAAGATTTTTGTTAAGCTACGAATTAAAAAAAAATTAAAAGCATGATTAATGTTTCTAGAATTTAGACATTGAAAACTTACTAAAGAAAATACTTCAGCTACATAGTCTTAAATGTAAGGTATAAGGGTAACATGACACTGTTGCAAATATAGCTTATCCTCTAGTCCTCACTGCAGGTATAGGTAGGGGTTCATGAACGGAATAGGAACGTGATGGCAGAATTGTTCTATACTTTTGAATCCCTGGTAGTGTATTAAAGAGGATGACGTTTTTGTTCTTTTTTAAGATTTATTTCTGGCTGCGTTGGGTCTTCGTTGCTGCATGCAGGCTTTCTCTAGTTGCGGTGAGCAGGGTCTACTCATCCTTGCGGTGCGCGGGCTTCTCATTGCGGTGGCTTCTCTTGTTGCGGAGCTCGTGCTCTGAGCCCGTGGGCTTCAGTAGTTGTGGCTCATGGTGTCTAGAGCACAGGCTCAGTAGTTGCGGCGCACGGTCTTAGTTGCTCCGCGGCATGTGGGATCTTCCTGGACCAGGGATCGAACCCGTGTCCCCTGCATTGGCAGGTGGAGTCTTTTTTTTTTTTTTAATAAATTTATTTATTTATTTTTGGCTGTGTTGGGTCTTTGTTGCCGCACGCAGGCTTTCTCTAGTTGTGGAGAGCGGGGGCTACTCTTCGTTTTGTTGCACGGGCTTGTCATTGCAGTGGCTTCTCGTTGCGGAGCATGGGCTCTAGGCGTGTGGGCTTCAGTAGTTGTGGCACGCAGGCTCAATACTTGTGGCTTGCGAGCTCTAGAGCGCAGGCTCAGTAGTTGTGGCACAAGGGCTTAGTTGTTCTGCGGCATGTCGGATCTTCCCAGACCAGGGCTCGAACCCGTATACCCTGCATTGGCAGGCGGATTCTTAACCACTGTGCCACCAGGGAAGCCTAACAGGCGGGTCCTTAATAACTGTGCCACCAGCGAAGTCTGGCTTTTTTTTTGATATGACTTTAGCACTTCAGCTGCAAGTTAACAAATCATTTCCATTATTATCAAGTTTAATGCTAGCAGTGTTATAGTAACTCATCTTTCAGGTTACCACTGCATGGAAATTTGAATTTTATTCTTTTTGGAAGTGATATGGCATCTTGTAATAGAATTAAAAGGACTTCGCAGTGCCACTCCTAGACCTGTATCCCGTTGAAATAAAAGCAAAACATAAGCACCCAGTCCAAGGTACTCATTGCAGTACTGTTTATAATGGCAAAAAGCTGGAAACAAAGTGAATGCCCATTAGTAGGGTAATGGATGACTTCTGATATGCCCACACTGAGGAATAGTATGCAGCCATTAAAAAGAATGTTAGAACTATATACGCTGATGTGGAGAGATTTCCATGATTTACATTTAAATAAAAGCTAGTTGTGGAGTGGGGTGTTAAAAAAAGAAAGTTCAACTTGGCTTTATTCAGTGATTCACGAATCAGTCAGCATCCAGTCTAGCAGATAGAAAGGAGCTCTGAGGAGCTGTACAAAATAGAATACTTTTATAGGCAACAAGGAGCAGGAACAAGGAAGTTACAGACAAAAAGTGCCTTGGTTATTGCAAGATCACTTTCCTTTAGGGGTTAGCAGAGGTTTATCAGTCATATTATATAACTAGGGCTGATCAGATGACTCCTGATTGACTGGTTTAAAATTCCATTTCTGGGAGAGCTGAAACTGTAATTAAGTCTCCGTTTGGTGACATGAGGCTTAGCAAATATGATTCCATGTTGGGCCTGTTGTCTTGTTTTTAACAAGGGTATATTTTGTTATCTGTTTGTGACACAAAGGAAAAACATGTAGATCTATAGATATGGATATACATAGATGTGGATGAGAGAAGACTAAAAGACTTAAAACTCAGAGAATTTTGAACAAATTCATAAGTAAAAATCTAAGAATTCTGCAGCAAAGGCCTTGACACTAGGAGACATCCCAGCAAAATGGAGTAAAACTAGTTCAAGGTGGGACACACAGAAATTCTAATATGCTACCAAACTACTGAGGATTATTACCTATTCCTTAGGAAAACTAGGGACTGATATTTATGTTTTATTTAAGAATATATGATAAATAGTTTAGAGATCTTAAAAAAAAACAAGCAAATAACTCTGGTTTCTATGCTTTATACTTATAAACATTTTTATAATTCCCTAATTACAATTTTTTGGTGTATTTGTATAAATACCCATCAGTCTTCCTGTAAATTAAAAGATTAAACCTTTCAGAACAGAAAGCAAAAATTACTACTGCACTAGTTGATTTGGCTCAGATATAGTGCCTAGCACATATCAAGTGCTACATGAATATTTGTTAGATGAATAAATCATCACAGAATACTTAAAAATGAAAGAACCAAAAAAAGTAAAGAACTTATTCTATATATACCCCAGTTATGAATGAGATTGAGTGGGCTAATAGAATCCTTTGTATCTCAGAATGTCCTGGAAGATCTTTTGAGAAAGAGACTCATCAAAAAATTATAATTTATTTTAATTCTACTTTGTGCAGAAGAAAGCATTGCTGACTCATGAAAATGCTTTCTGACCCTTTAAGATTCTTACTTTTCCCCAAAGTAAAAAAAAAAATCCCAGTTAGATTAAAAAAAAAAAAGGGGTTCTTTTGCATTATAAAAGTAGCTGAGGGACTTCCTTGGTGGTCCAGTGGCTAAGACTCTGCGCTTGCAATGCAGGGGGCCCAGGTTGGATCCCTGATAAGGGAACTAGATCCCGCATGCCATAGCTAAAAGATTCTACTTGCTGCAACTGAAGATCCCACATGCAGCAACGAAAATCCCACATGCCACAACTAAGACCTGGTGCAGCCAAATAAATAAATAAATATTAGAAAAAAACAGCTTTGTTGAGGTATAATACACATACCGTAAAATTTACCTATTTTAAGTATGCAGTTTGGTCAGCTTTAGTAAATTTATATAGTTGAACAATTGTCACCATGATCCAGTTACATCTATCTGTCAGTCCAGAAAGTTCCCTTGTAACCACTTGCAGCCAATCTCTAATCCTAACCCCAGCCCATGGCTGATCTGCTTTCTGTCTGCATAGTTTTGCCTTTTCTACAGTTTCATATAATGGAATCAGTTAGTATGTGTTTTAAGGTTCATTCATATTGTTGTATTTAGCAGTAGTTTGTAACTTTTTATTTCTAAGTAGAATTCCACTATATGGAATTCCACTATATGAACATACACACTTTGTTTATCCACAAATTGATGGACATTTGAATTGTTTCCTGTTTTTGGTTATTTGAATAATGTCATTGTTGTTACTGGCATGCAAATCTTTGCATGCATATGTTTTCATTTCTCTAGGAGAGTAATTGCTGGGTTGTATGGTAAATTTATGTTTTAAAAAAAAACCTGCTAAACTGTTTCCTAAAGTGGCTGTACTCTACCGTTTTACATTCCCATGAGCAGTGTATGAGGGATTCAGTTTTTCCACACCCTTGTCATCACTTGGTATTGTCAGTCTTTTTGATTTTAGCCATTCTAGTGGATGTGTAGTAGTGGTTATTGTGATTTTAATTTGTATCTCCTTAATGAATAATGATATTCAATATTTTTTAATGTGCTTATGCATCTATATCTCTTTGAAGTGTCTCTACAGATCTTTTGCCCATTTAAAAATGGGTTATTTCTTTTATTAAGATTTCTGTATATGTTAAATCAAGGTAATAAAATAGCTAAAAGAACAAATTATGTATTCTCTTTTATTTTGAGGATTTTTTGGTGGTTATGAAATATATCATACTTCTAAAAGAATGAATAAAAGGTTATTTGTAAGTTTTAAAGAACAATGCTGTTGACCTAGGAACAACATGGGGATTAAGGGCACTGATCCTCTGCACAGTTGAAAATCTAAGTAAAACTTACAGTGGCCCTCCCTATCCCCAGTTCCCTTGCATCTGTGGATTTAACCAACCTTGGAATATGTAGCACTGTAGTATTTACTACTGAATAAAATCCGTATATAAGTGGACCTTCAAGGTTCAAACCCCTGTTGTTCAAGCATCAACTCTATAATGAAAACTTGTGTTCCTACCTCACATG